AAGCCCCCAGAACACTGTTACCCCCGTCTCATGCCACACACATATCACAATCAGTTTCTGGATGATCCTGCCCATAATTATGCAGGAAAGCTTACCTACAGCTGTGATGACCTTTTCTGAGTTACTACGTGTGCTAAGTAATTCAAATAACGATAATGCTATGATTTCAGGACAAAGCATCATCTGGACAGAAGCGGGACTGTCCCAGCAAATCTAGGAGAGTTGGCTTTTGGGTTATGAATTTTTAATTAGCTAGCTTGGGGGTGTTTTTTCATGTGTGCTGGAGAGCAGGTAATTTCTTGGAACACTTTCTATTCTCCCTCTTCCTTCATGGTTGTAACTAGAGATGAGCGAATCGAACATGACGAAGTGGAATTCGTTCCGAAGATTTGGAAAAATTCTATTCGCGACGAATCCGAAGATTAGCAAACTTCGGATGCACGAATCGAATTTTCCCAAAAATGGCGGCGACGACATGTGTGGCGACAGGAGAAAATGGACAGAGAAGATGGGGCGGGGATCTCTGGGAAGGCGCGCAGACAAGGCGCGCTGACCCATAATGCATTCATGAGTCATGAATCATGACATGTGATCGCATTAGCCAATCAGCAGCCAGCCAGCCAGCACTGTGTAATGGTGGAGCTATAAATCGCGGCCATCTTAGAATTCTCCATTAGCCTCCGGTCATTCAAGAGAGACAGACCTCTGTGTATTGAGGGACAGAGTTAGGGCCACAGAATTGTTACTCAGGGCCACAGAATTGTTACTCAGGGCCACAGAATTGTTACTCAGGGCCACAGAATTGTTACTTAGGGCCACAGCTATCAAAGAATCGAAAATTTAAAGTGACATACACCATTTTTTTTTTTTTGGTGGCTGTCGTGCACAGTTGGTGCTGCAGTTTGCCGATTGTGTACAATAAACTGACTTTCTGCTTCACAACCACTATTGTACGTTCAAAGAGTTAAATCCATATACACGCCGGGTGGCGGTAATATTTTTTTGGGTGATTAGTGCATCCAGTGACATAAACGTACAGTTTCCAGCCAACGGCAAGCTGCAATTGACCGATTGTGCTAAATAAACTGACTTTCTGCTTCACAACCACTATTGTACGTTCAAAGAGTTAAATCCATTTACACGCCGGGTGGGCGGTAATATTTTTTGGGTGATTAGTGCATTCCAGTGACAGAAACGTACAGTTTCCAGCCAACGGCAAGCTGCAATTGACCGATTGTGCTAAATAAACTGACTTTCTGCTTCACAACCACTATTGTACGTTCAAAGAGTTAAATCCATATACACGCCGGGTGGCGGTAATATTTTTTGGGTGATTAGTGCATTCCAGTGACGTAAACGTACAGTTTCCAGCCAACGGCAAGCTCCAATTGACCGATTGTGCTAAATAAACTGACTTTCTGCTTCACAACCACTATTGTACGTTCAAAGAGTTAAATCCGGTTTTATTTTTGGGATGCTTATTGAATTAAAGAGTATGTCAGACAACACGCAAAGGAGTGGCAGAGGAGGCAATGTTTCAGGAGCGAGCAGACGTGGCAGCAGAGGAAGGGGTCGAGGCAGCACTAGTCGCAGCCAGAGGCCAGTGCTCCCGGTGTCATCCAGCGGTCGTGTCTCCACCGACAACCCTGCCGTCATCGATTGGTTGACTCAGTCGTCTTCCTCTTCCCAGGTCACCTCTGACACCTACAGCCAACGGTCGGTGGGTACGTCAGACACAACCGTTAGTTGGCATGGCCCGGGAGTAAGCCCACTGAAATCACGTGTCCTCGACCTGCCCCTGTCCTTTGGTGTTCCCTCACCAAGCGCGGTATCGCATGCTGTGGGCTCAGCCCCACTGTACAGTGAGGAAGAGCTAACAGAGGGCGGTCAGGAACGGGGGGAGACATCCGCCTCTTCAGCAGCCAGGCGAAGAAGTACTGGCGAGGAGAGTGGCTCGGTAGCCGGTCTAGAGACAGGTCTGTCTCCTGACCCACACGCAGCCGAGGGGGCTAGTAGTGACGCGGAGACCCTAATTGATGATGATGAGGCTGATCGCACTTGGCAGCCTCGTCGCCATCAGGCTATTGCTTCCGCATCATCAGGAGAAGAGGGTGCCAGCTTGCCAGCGAGCAAAACAGTCGGTGGGTTGCCCAGGAGGCAGCAGGGTCGCAGCAGTGTCAGTGGACCAAACGGCCACGGAGTAGGGCACCAGCTCCACTGCAGCCTACCACCATGGCCAGTAGTGGTGCCGGTGTGCACGGAGGAAGTAGCAGTCAGCCAGTGAGGAGTAGCGGGGGCAAAGTTTCCTACTCGGCGGTGTGGCAATTTTTCGTCAAGCCGCCCGAGGAAGTAAACATAGCCGTATGTCGACTATGTGGCCAGAAAGTCAAGCATGGCCAGGGGGCCCATGTTGGGACTACAGCGTTGCGTCAGCATATGCAGCGTCGCCATTCGGTGGCCTGGGAAAACCGTGATAAAGATACGGCGGTTCTGCCTGCCCCAGCCCCCGCTCCATCACCCGCTCCGTTACTTGCTCCGTCACCCGACGTCAATCGCCCTCTATCAACCAGTCAAGGCTCCAACACCTCTGCTGAGGGGAGTTGTCGCTCGTTGGCATCTTCCGCTCGTTCAGATGCTCCTTCTCCTGCTACTCCTCTTCACGGATTCCGTCAGCAGTCTTTCTTGGAATCCGTTTCCAAGAGACAACAGTTTGCGAGCACGCACCCGACGGTGCAGAAGCTGAACGTCCTCCTGTCCAAGTTGCTGGTGCTGCAGTCCCTCCCTTTCCAAGTGGTGGACTCAGCACCTTTCCGAGAAATGATGGCTTGTGCCGAGCCGCGGTGGAGAGTGCCAAGCCGGCATTTCTTCGCCAAAAAAGGCAGTGCCAGCCCTGCATTCACATGTAGAAGAGATGGTGGGCCAGTCTTTGAGCATGTCGGTCTCTGCCAAAGTGCACGGCAGCGCCGACGTGTGGAGCTGTAACTACGGTCAGGGACAGTACATGTCATTTACGGCCCACTGGGTGAACGTGGTGCCGGCACAGCCGCACCAGCAACTTGGACAGGTCACGCCGCTTTTGCCTCCACGTTTGCACGTCCTTGGTCCAGCAAAGATGTCCGCCTCTACCACCTCTTCTTCCGCCGTGTCCTCAGCCGCCACCCCCGTGCCAAGTCCCATTACCCGACCCAACATATCACATGTGCAGGGCGCAACGGTGTCACGCTGTGCTGCACCTGGTATGCCTTGGCGAACGTAGTCACACAGGGGAGGAACTTCTGAGTGTAATGAACAGAGAAATCGACAGATGGCTGTCTCCGCGCAAACTGAAAATCGGAACCATGTTGACCGACAACGGAAAGAACATGGTGTCTGCTCTGCGTCAAGGAAGGTTGTGCCATGCGCCTTGCATGGCTCACGTGTTCAATCTGGTTGTCAAGCGGGTTCCTAAAATCCACCATCCCACTGCAAGACATCCTTAAAATGTCACGTAAACTTTGCATGCATTTCAGCCATTCCTACACCGCAAAGCACACCCTCCTTGAGCTGCAGCGGCAGAACGGAATTCCACAGCATCGCCTGATCTGCGACGTTGCAACAAGGTGGACTTCAACCCTACATATGTTAGACGTCTTTACGAACAGCGAAAGGCCATCACCGATTTCCTGATGTTACAAGCGGATAAAGGTACTCCCCTGTGTAACTTAGATGTCAGCCATTGGCAGCTCATGCGTGACACCTGCCGCTTGCTCAGGCCCTTTGAGGAGGCCACGCTATTCGTGAGTCGGCAGGACTATGGGATGAACGACGTCATTCCTCTGTTGCACGTCCTGGAACAAATGCTGTTAACAATGGCTGGTCAGGGTGCGGTAGACGTGGCGCACAGATCTCAACGCCACATGACCCCTGTGGGGGCAGGACAGGAAGAAGAGGAGGAGGTAGAGGAGGACATTGGTACTCAGGAATTATTGAGTGAAATGGGTGGTTTTTCCACTCAGCGGACAGGAGTGGAGGAGCAGGAGCATCTGGTAGAGGAGGAGGAGGAGGAGACAGAGGACCCAGACGCACCGTGGCAGTATGCTGTGGAGATGGAGGCAGGGAGTCCCTCGCATTCCTTGGCACAAATGGCCCATAGCATGCTCGGTTGCTTTGCGTAGCGACAGCCGAATAATAACCATCAGACAGAGGGATGACTTTTGGCTGTCCACCTTGTTGGACCCTCGCTACCGTTCAAAAATGGTGGCCTTTTTCACACCTGCTGAGAGGGAGGCCAAAATAAAGTACTATAAAAACCACCTATGTAGTCAGTTGGTCTCTGCCTTTCTGCGCCAACGTCCATCCTCAGACACTGTGGGCCCTGTGCGCTCGCGTTCCGCTGCCATGGCAGCAGGGGAGGGGTGGGGGTGGTAGGAGCAGTGGCAGCTCCACCAGCAGCGGCTGCCTCAGTCTGCAGTCGATGATGAGTAGCTTTCTTCACCAGCGCAGTGAGGAAACTACTATTGTAACTCCGCGGAGGACACGACTGTCCACCCAAAGTGTGGAGAGACTCACGTTTGTAAAAATGAATCAGGCGTGGATTAGTCTGGATTTCAAACCACCAGTTCCTGACACAACTGACCTAATAACCTAGCCGTTCAGGCCGCTCCCTGAACACCTCGGGAATTGCTTTGTATATCTGTCGCCTTAGAGGCCGCTGCTGAACAGCTCATGAATTGCTTTCTATATGTGTCGCCTTTGAGGCCGCTGGCTGGACAGCTGATGAATTGATTTGTATATATGTACTTATTGTCCGCTGTCCGGACAGCTCATGAATTACTTCTGTATATAGCCTTCCAAACCACTCTCAGAATAAGTCATGATATTCATGCTGTGTATAGCCTTATAGGCCAATGGTCAATCAAGTCATGATTGTGGTTTAGTGTGTATAGCCTTATAGGCCGCTGTCTTTACAACTTTATAATTCCATGCAGTATATAGCCCTATCGGCCACTTTCTGGCATCCAGTTGCTGTAGCCCCCATCACCACACTGTGCCACGGGCCCCTGTACCGCCTTTCTCATACTGCTGCCAGATCCATCCTCTGCCATGTGTGTCTTTGTCGTCTGCTCACGCTGCTGCTGGGTTCCAGTTTTAAACCTAGGCCTGTGTATGGCTTCCGAATACTGCTGCCTCCACCGCCACCCTGCGCCATGTGTCTCTGTCGTCTGCTCACGCTGCTGACGGCTTCCGCTTTTTAACCTAGGCCTGTGTATGGCTTCCAAATACTGCTGCCTCCACCGCCACCCTGCGCGCCATGTGCCTCTGTCGTCTGCTCACGCTGCTGACGGCTTCCGCTTTTTAACCGAGGCCTGTGTTTGGCTTCCGAATACTGCTGCATCCACCGCCACCCTGCGCCATGTGTCTCTGTCGTCTGCTGACGGCTTCCGCTTTTTAACCGAGGCCTGTGTTTGGCTTCCGAATACTGCTGCATCCACCACCCACCCTGCGCCATGTGTCTCTGTCGTCTGCTCACGCTGCTGACGGCTTCCGCTTTTTAACCGAGGCCTGTGTTTGGCTTCCGAATACTGCTGCATCCACCGCCACCCTGCGCCATGTGTCTCTGTCGTCTGCTACGCTGCTGACAGCTTCCGCTTTTTAACCTAGGTCTGTGTATGGCTTCCGAATACTGCTGCTGCCTCCACCGCCACCATGCGCCATGTGCCTTTGTCGTCTGCTCACGCTGCTGACGGCTTCCGCTTTTTAACCGAGGCCTGTGTTTGGCTTCCGAATACTGCTGCATCCACCGCCACCCTGCGCCATGTGTCTCTGTCGTCTGCTCACGCTGCTGACGGCTTCCGCTTTTTAACAGAGGCCTGTGTTTGGCTTCCGAATACTGCTGCATCCACCGCCACCCTGCGCCATGTGTCTCTGTCGTCTGCTCACGCTGCTGACGGCTTCCGCTTTTTAACCTAGGCCTGTGTATGGCTTCCGAATACTGCTGCCTCCACCGCCACCCTGCGCCATGTGCCACTTTCAGGTCTCCTTACACTGTTGGTGGGTTCCATTTTGTGATAGGGTGCTGTATGGCCTTCCATTGCTGCTCCTGCCACCCTGCGCCATGTGCCTCTGTCATCTGCTCACGGCTTCCGCTTTTTAACCTAGGCCTGTGTATGGCCTTCAATTTAAGCTGCTTCTGCTCCGCCACTCTGCCATTGGACTCTTGATAGTCGTCTCCCCACGCTGCTGCTGGGGGGACTTTTTAACATAGGCCTCTGTATGGCCTTCAATTTTAGCTGCTTTCGCTCCGCCACTCTGCCATGGGCCCCTGTACCGCCTCCTCATGCTGCTGCCAGGCCCGTAATCTGCCATGGGCCCCCGTACCGACTCCTCATGCTGCTGCCAGGCCCGTAATCTGTCATGGGCCCCTGTACCGCCTCCTCATGCTGCTGCCAGGTCCAGAGTGTGTCATGGGTCCCTGTACGGCCTCCCATTGCTGCTGTCTCCATCGCCACACTCTGCCATGTGCCACTTTTAGGTCTCCTCACACTGCTGGTGGGTTCCATTTTGTCATAGGGTGCTGTATGGCCTCCCATTGCTGCTGCCTCTACCGCCACACTGTGGCTGGCTCCACACTCTGGTTTTGGCCCCGTGACTGCCCAAATGAGTGAAGTGTGCGGTGATTCTAAGATCGATGGCACTCATCTGCATGTCATACTGACTGACAGTATTATTTCTCTTCCCTAGCAGACTCCAAGGGCATTTAAATTAAAGGTACAGTGTTTTGCACTAATATAAAGGCTCTCTGAAGCCTAGAAACACCCTTTTTAGAAGTTAAATTCGCAGCGAATATATTCGGCACGAAGCGAATTTAATCGGGCGAATTCGGCGAATCAGCCGAACCGAATTTTTGAATAATTCGCTCATCTCTAGTTGTAACGGAACCAGACCCAGACCGCACTTGGGTATTTCCGTTATACTCCAGCTTCCCTGTCCAAACACAAATCCATGGACAGGGAAGCTGGAGTATAACGGAAAAACCCAAGTGCAGCCTGGGTCCAGTTCCATTACATTGGTGGCAGCAGTGGGATGCAGCACATGGCAGTGAACAATGAACAATGGAACACACACGGCAGTGATCAATGGACCAACCACATGGCAGTGAACAATGGACAACCCCCACACCCATATTAGAACATTTCACCTTGTACCCCCTAATAGGCACAGGGTACCTTAGACATAAGAGGGATTTGGGAAGATGATACAGGGGTCCCCCCCCACCCCAGTCAAGTCACTCCCGTCACAATGGTCTCCTGCCCTAGGAGGATGTCACTGTTAAATGTTTTCCTGTTTCCCAGGGCCTGTAGGCCTAGGTGATAGAAGGAAGCAGGGATCCATCCTCCTGGGAGGTATTCTTGAAGATGTTGGTTGCTGGAGGCTAAAGAGTGTTGGCCAGAGAAAGCAAGAAAAGTGGCAAGTGACTGGTTGGGTGAGGAGTATACCCAGACACCTTCTCAGCTGTCCTGCCTTGAAATACTAGGATTAAGATACCAGTAGAACCATATTTGTTAGGGAGCCAAACCCCTATGCATGTCAAGTCAGGAAAGATTTAGTGGAAAAGGTAAAGAGAGACTTTATTAGTAGTTAGAGAAGCCTCTACTGGTTTATTGAGACTATCAATGTTGTGGGGATATCCCAATATTCTCATCTTTCTGTTCACTTGATTGAAAGCAAATGTGACTGTCTAAGACTGGGGAGAATGCAAACAACTGCCTTAATGAAAATAAAAGGTATTGTAAAGGTAATTCCTTTATTTTAAAATAACAAACATGTCCTACTTACCTGCAAGCTGTTTATTATGGGGCACTTGTGCTGGCTCAGTCCCGAGCTGGGCTCTGTGTCCATTGCTTGACCATGGCCCCTGCTCTCTCCTCACAGGCTGTGATTGATAGCAGCAGGAGCCAACAACTCCTGCTACTGCCTCTTTGTCCAGAGAGGAGAGAGAGAGGAAAAAGCTTTTAGTGGAGAAGGTAAAGAGAGACTTTATTAGTAGTTAGAGAAGCCTCTACTGGTGTATTGAGACCATCAATGTTGTGGGGATATCCCAATATACTCATCTTTCTGTTCACTTGATTGAAAGCGAATGTGACTGTCCCCACAAAAGATGTGGTGACTAGTTGAGCGATGAGTCAAAACTCCATGAATATCAAAGCTTGTGTTTAGAAGGGACAGAGGCACTTTAGTAGACGTGGGGGGCTTAGAGGGGATTAAAGATTAAATTGGTATTTTGAGATCATCCGTGTTTTGGGGATATCCAGATATACACCTTACCCTCCCTCTCAAATTGCAATATGCAGGAAATCTGTTTTGAATTTAAATGACTGGCACCCATCCATTTGCAATCTGAGAAAAGAGCCAGGTTTGATATTGAATGTGCCTGGGATCACATTGTAATGTAAGCGTGCTTAGGACATTCGAAATGTAGCTCTGGATTATCTGGAAGTCAATATTTATTGAAGATCAGTACCAATAGTGCTACAGATATAAGGTTAGTGAAGCTACCTTGGAAATAGTTCAGCTTTAAATGATTAACTATGCATATGGGAATAGGGATGCCAGGATGAAGATAATAGGACAATAATTACAATAAAAAGTGCATCACATTTTTTCATTTCTATGTACTTTGTACTTAAGACATAAATTCTGTCTAAAAACTATCCAACAGAGAGATAATAGAATAAACCAGCATTTTGCTCATTTTTTTCAGTTCCCATTAAAAGTATCCAAAATCCTGAGGTGCCTCAATCTAAAATGTAAAAAAAACCTAAATGTTATTTATCAAAGGGAAACCTAAGCCGGGGAGAATGCAAACAACTGCCTTAATGAAAATAAAGGTATTGTGAAGGTAATTCCTTTATTTTAAAATAACAAACATGTCCTACTTACCTGCAAGCTGTTTACTATGGGGCACTTGTGCTGGCTCAATCCTGAGCTGGGCTCTTCATCCATTGCTTGACCATGGCCCCGTTCTGTCCTCACAGGCTGTGATTGATAGCAGCAGGAGCCAACGACTCATGCTACTGCCTCTTTGTCCAGAGAGGAGAGAGAGAGAGGAAAGAGCCACCCTCCCAGGCACAGTGCTGGATCGAAATCAGGCTTGGGTCAGTATTCAGGGGGGCGAGAGGGGGAGCTGAGAATGCATTAAAGTATTTGTAAACCCTTACATATAACCAGTGAAGTGATTAGTCTCAGGCAATACACAGAGATGAAAAAAATTCCCCACCATTGGCATTGGTGGGAGGAATTGGGCCCAACTATTGGCATAAGTGGAAGGAATAGTGCCCCATTGTTGGTGTCACTGGGAGAAATATTGCCCTATTGTTGGTTTCAATAGAAGAAACAGTGCCCCATTGGTGGAGTCAGTGAAAGGAATAGTGCCTCAACCTTGTTGACAGTGGGAGCAATAATGCCTCATGCCAGAGGAGGAATAGTGACCCAAAGGCCAAATAAAGGCAAGCAAAGGGCTACATCCGGCTCGTGGGCCACGGTTTGGAGACCCCTGGCTTAGAGCATGAGTCCATGACACCTACAGATAATCACACACTGAAACTACACCATTCACTGTAATAGCTTAGAAAAATTGATCTCATCTTGTGTGAAAAAGAACGGGGTTTAAATGCTTAGAGGGTGGGACCAGAAGGTCAATTCAAACCAAACAATGCATTTATCTTAGGTGTAGACCCCTCTGATTTGTGTTGTTTAGGATTTAAGGAGCGTAGCAAACTGTCCATTCACCCTAAAGCTGAAGTGGACACTTCCAGTCCGAGATGTGACTGCTAAGTTCCAGTGAGGCTTCAGCCATGAGGTGCTAGAGGTCACCCATGCTACTAGCCACACTGGGAATGACACTGTTATGTTATTGTTTTTTGGTTCCTACCCATGATTGGTGGAATGGCATGATCACCTGTGGTATTATGCTGCTTGTGACTTGTCAAAGGAGTACTCTTCCATTCTACTTGCTAACAAACAATGAGAAGTGAATGAAGAGTAGAGTTGCATTGGCTACACTACACCAGGGCACACAAAATGAGGTTAGGACACTAAGGCACAGGACAGGGAAGCAAAACATTGAAAATAACTCTGTAGGACACACATTGGCTGTTTTTTACGCTACACTTCTAATATGCTAAAATATATAGACAAAGGTATGTGGACACCTACTCATCACACCTATACAAGCTTGTTGGGCATCCATTCTAATAATATGGGCATTAATATGGAGTTGTTCTCCTTCATGTCTATAACAGCCTCCACTCTTATGAGGAGGCTTGCCACAAAATGTTGGAGTGTGTCTGTGGGAATTTGTGTTCATTGAGCCAACAAGCATTTGTGAGGTCAGGTACTGATGGTGGATGAAAAGACCTAGTTCACAATTGGTGTTTCAATTTATCCTATGCCTGGTACACATGGGCTGAATATTATCCAGTTCAACAGAAATTGTCCAACATTCGGCTTGTGTATACAGTGTATACAACCTGTCCGACAGTGTGCATACAACCTGTCCAACAGAAAAATGCCTGGCTTCTGTAGAACGGTCATGCTAGAAAAAATCTGGTGTTTGGCATCCGGATCAGCACTTGCAACCAACCCAGTGTGTTCTGGTGGGGTACTGGCCCCTTGTCAGAACACAATAGCTGAGTGGGGAGATTGCTGTACTAACATTGCCTAGTTAATACAGTGAGCTCCTTCTAAGCCCTGCTGGGCTGAGCAAAAAAAAAACTTGTAGTGTATACCCAGCATTAAGGTGTTCAGTAGGGTTGGGGTCAAGGCTCTGTGCAGGTTGCGCAAGCTTTTTTTTATACCAGATTCATCACACCATGACCTTATGAAGCTAGCTTGATGCACATGGGTATACTCTGGTCACTCTGGAATATAAAAGGGCCTTTGCCAAACTGTGTTGTTTCTCTATGGGTGCTCCAGTTTTCTTCTTCCACAACTCAAGACATACTACTACATTAACTGGCTATCTCAAGATTGCACCTAATGTATGCAAGGGCCATTCGTTTTTAAGAACC